TCCTTAACTAGATTTCTTCCTTCCTCACTTATAACTAAATTCCTTCCTTCCTTTTCTCCCTCCTTCCCTCCCTCCCTCCTCTGTACATTATCAAGAAATCATGATCCCACCCCCCGCAAAACTTGCAAGAGAGAAAGGGCAGAACCCCCCTCCCCCTTTCTGTTTTGAGTGTTGTCCACTCCCGAATAGAGTCACAGTTAGCGGGCGGGTTGTTGTTGTCGTCTCCCCCACTTCCCGACCGTGGAGATACCTTCAGCTGGAACTTTAACCTCCTCCCACCGTTCCCTGAAGAGCCAGTGGCCTTCCAGAGGCGGAGACAAGGCCTTTTATTGATTAATCCATGGGACTCTCTCCTGATTTCCTGCCCAGGCCAACCCTCCTTGCCTCCTATCCACCGTCCAGTACATTAGCAGCTTCTACGCCAACTCTTTAACCGGGGAGGAATCGTATTGGTGGATGCAGTTCACCGCAGCCGTGGAGTTCATCAAGACCATCGATGAACGAAAGTGAGCCCAGCCGGCCTTTCCTGCTCCCGAGGGTGGGGTGGTGGGGGAGACACCCCGAGGCCACGTAGAAGCTCCTCACGAATGTATTTCTCCTGGTCCCCACCGGAGAGATGCCAGCATTGGAAAGGGAAACCCCTCGCCTTCCCTCTGTGTAAATACGGTATTAATCCGACTAATAGGAGTGCTGGGATGCGTTTCTCATTATTATTATTATTTTTGTATCCAAAAGAAAAGGTTTCTTTTCCGCCCCCTTCCTGCTCTTTCGTTTAGGAACTAGCGCGAGATTCCAAAAGGGACCATATTTTATAAGGAATCTTGGAATCTCCCCGAAGTCTCTGACTCTCTCTCTTTTTTTTTGTTGTCACTGGGAATCTCAACGGACGGATAAGTTTCTTCCTTTCCTCGGGATGATTTCCCTTTCCTTTCTCCAGTAATAAGAATAGTAATAAAGCCGCAATATTTTTTATTTGTCAATCTGGGCTGGGGGCGAAGACGGAGGTTTCTTAACCATCTTTTTCATTCGCCTGCATCTTCTGGGGGGGTGTGGGGGCGGTGAGAAGAAGAGCCCCCTCCCCTCCAAAGCCGGAAGGGAAGAGCTTGCAGGAAGAAAAAAAAAGCCGAAAAGGGAAACATTTCAATCATGATCAAATCGCACGAATGGGAAACTCTTTGGTGGTTGTGCGAACGGCCGGATATCTCGGGCGACCCACGGATTCAAATCGGGACACAATTTCTCCAGATCAATGCTTATGACTGCCTACTGAATTTAAAGCTGATTTTTTTCCCCCTCCCTTTCTCCCTTTTGGAGGGAGAGGGGAGATCAAAGCCCACGTATTTATTTTTAAAATGTGAAAATTTACTAACACTGGAAGTCATCCGAAGTGGGGTGGTTTTTTTTTGGGGGGGGGGAGGGTTGTTTCGTTTTCTCAGTTCTCATTGGTCTAGCTTTTTTTTTTCTTTTTTGGGGTATTTTTTTTGTTTTTCTTTTTCCAAACGAAATTCGACAAAACCTTTCAGTATTTGTCTGTTGCACAAGGCAGGAAGTTAGAAACAAAAGGGATTNTTTTCTCCTCTGGCCTCTCCCAGAGGGAATAAAAGTGGGGAGAAAGGGGAGTGGAGTTTGCAGGAGACCATTAGTTCCTTCCTGCATTCTGGCCAAGTATTGCAGCGTCTGAAAGATACCGGCCTGGCCACTCTCCAAGCCCGATCAAGGTCAGTAATGGTGAACTACCTTGAAAGGCTGTGGGAGAGGAAAGACTTTGCTGGAGAGGAATTCACTGTCAGTTCAATAACAGGGATTTCTCAGGACGGGAACTCAGGTTCGTGCTGCTGGGGAAGCCGAGGTCAGAACAGTTTTCTATCTCGAGACAACCTGGGTGTCCTTCAAACCTGGGGGCTCCAAATCCCAGTATTCCCCCAACACGCGTTGCGGAGAATGCTGGGAGTTGAAGTCCTCCATCTGGAACCTTCTCCACCCAACTTGGATGAGGTCCCTCAAGAGCCAAACGCCTCCTTCCCTCCCAGGTCTACCTGCGGGAAGCCCCCTGGCCATCGGCCCAGGCCGAGATCTGCACCATCAGTGCCTACAAGACTCCCCGAGACAAACTCCAGTGCGTCTTGCGGATGTGTTCAACCATCATGAACCTCTTGAGTTTGGCCAACGAGGACTCGGTGCCCGGAGCGGACGATTTCGTCCCCGTGCTCGTTTTTGTCCTCATCAAGGTAAGGAGAAGCTACCATAAGGGGTTTCTTCCTCCAGAGGTAACTTCCAAGGTGTCATCCCTAGAGGTTGTCTTTTTTGGGGGGGCGGGGTTGGGGGGAGTGGGAGGGAACCATCTCCCAAACCAGCAGCGCAAGATTCAAACTGGGTTGTTTAATTGATGTTTGCGTTGGTAGCGAAGGGAGCGTTTCTCTTCACCCGGAAGGGTTTTGCAAAAGTGGACTTAATTTTTTTGTCCTTTGTCGCATTTAATTAGACGAAGCTTTTGTGTCAGATCAGCCTTCCTTCGTCCCATCCTCCATCCCTGGTCTAATTCACTCTCCAAATCTTTTCCTATTCATCTTTTCTTTTTTATTCCTTCCTCCCTCCCTCCCTCCCTCCCTTGCTGCTGGAATCTTTCTCTTCCATATTTTTCTCTCATAGCCCTTCTTTTCTTTCTTTCTCTCCCTGTCTCCTTCCCCCTTTCTCATATTCCTTCCTTTCTTCCTCACTTTACAACTAGGTTCCTCCCTCCCTCCTTCCCTTGCTGCTGGAATCTTTCTCATTCTCTTCCATATTTTTCTCTCTTAACTCTTCTTTCCTTTCTCTCTCTGTCTCCTTCCCTCTTTCTCATCTTCCTTCCTTCCTTCCTTCCTTCCTTTCTTTATTCCTTCCTTCCTTTATAACTAGGTTCCTCCCTCCCTCCTTCCCTTGCTGCTGGAATCTTTCTCATTCTCTTCCATATTTTTCTCTCTTAACTCTTCTTTCCTTTCTCTCTCTGTCTCCTTCCCTCTTTCTCATATTCCTTCCTTCCTTCCTTCCTTCCTTCCTTCCTTCCTTCCTTCCTTCCTTCCTCACTTTATAACTAGGTTCCTCCCTCCCTCCTTCTCTTTGTGCTGGAATCTTTCTCATTCTCTTCCATATTTTTCTCTCATAACCCTTCTTTCCTTTCTCTCTCTGTCNCCCAGAATTCCCCAGCCAGCATTCGCTGGCTGGGGAATTCTGGGAGTTGAAGTCCAGACATCTTCAAGTTGCCAAGGTTGAGAAACACTGGCATAAGCTACGGAGCCTTCATTTTGCCTTCTTGAAGCCCCCTCCTGTGGCTTCACCACAGGACTCTCTTTCTAATTACTTTGTGACTTTATACACATCTTATATTATGAGCCTCCCTGGGCTTTTCTCCATGCTGGTAGGTAGGACTTACTGGTGGCTCCGGTGTTCTTCTTCACTCCACTCAATTTTGAGGTGACAATTGAACTTTCTCTCCAGTTCATCCCACCTATTTCTTGTTCCCATCACCAGTGAAATGCATGTCATGTGCAGAAACTCAAGTCTGCAATTCCAATCTAGCTAGGAACATCTTGAACACCCAAAGTCTCTCTGGCCCGGAAAAGTTGATCAATGTCGCCACCTATTGAACGCCAAGCTAGAGAGCAGAAGTCTTTTTTTTAAATAAAAAAATAAGCTTTTATTTTATTTAAATATAAGCAATCCATCATCCATTAAACAGTGTGTCATCTGGGTACAAATATTTTGTGCAATAACAATTAAAATTTACAATCGTATTCATTCTTTATCTTAATACCAATACCTTAACTATCTAATACCATTACAATCCTCTTCTTAATTTATATAGCTCTATTAATTATGTTAATTCAATTAGTGCATTTTTACACAGCTCCTTTTACTTCTAATGCTTAATTTATTCTCTAACCATCGATAAAATGATTCCCATATAAGTATAATAATCAGTTTGTTCTTTCTCTTTAATTGGCAGTGTTAATCTCTTCATTTCTGCACATTCTAATATTTTCCTAATCGCATTCTCCTCTGTGAGAATCCCTTCGCTTTTCCAATTTTGTGCAAATACAATCCTAGCTGCTCGCATAACATGGATGATCAAATCCGCACATTCTAATATTTTCCTAATCACATTCTCCTCTGTGAGAATCCCTTCGCTTTTCCAATTTTGTGCAAATACAATCCTAGCTGCTCGCATAACATGGATGATCAAATCCGCACATTCTAATATTTTCCTAATCACATTCTCCTCTGTGAGAATCCCTTCGCTTTTCCAATTTTGTGCAAATACAATCCTAGCTGCTCGCATAACATGGATGATCAAATCCGCACATTCTAATATTTTCCTAATCACATTCTCCTCTGTGAGAATCCCTTCCCTTTTCCATTTTTGTGCAAAAACAATCCTAGCTGCTCGCATAACATGGATGATCAAATATACATTTTCTTTTACTATAGGTTTCTGGTAAAATCCCCAACAGGAATATTTCAGGTTTCAAGTCAATATGTTGTTGTAACATCTTTTCCAATGTATTTTTGACCAGTGTTTTTTTTTTTGCTTCTACACATGTCCACCTCATATTATAGTATGAGCCAGGCGTCTGGCGACATTTCCAACATTCAACTGATTTGTCCTTCAACATCTTCACCAATTTTGCTGCTGGCA